AAGACCCCATTTCTATAAAAAATTTTAAAAATCAATCAGGCATGGTGGCACACACCTGTAGTCCCAGCTACTCAGGAAGCTGAGGCAGGAGAATCACTTGAACCCAGGAGTTCAAGGCTGCAGTGAGCTATGACTGTGTCACTGCACTTCAGCCTGGGTGACAGAGTAAGACCCTGTCTCTTAAAAAAAATAAAATAGAACAATAATCTTGATCCTGAAAGCAATCAGACATGTATAGCCAGCCACCTCCGTGCCCCTGGAGTACTTTCTAACCCAAGCCCAGCAGTGTTCTACTCTCCAGCGCTTGGCAGAGGCCAGCAGACACAAGGTAAATAACTGAACCCTTTGTTAGAATGTAGGCTCTGTCTCCGGCTAGCCTAGCCTGCACTGATGGCCACAGGCTGCACTCAGGCGTGGAATGCTACTCCCTTCTTCCACATGCTCACCAAGGCTACCGAGGCCCCAGTGTATGCCAGACATGCTTCTGGGCACTTGTATGTTCAGCAAGATACTTCCTGCTCCTAATCTTGGGCAAACCTGTAACCCAGAAGTTAAGAGCTAGAATGCAAGTTGGGATGGAAACTGAAATCTTCCTACAGTCACTTCAAGTTGAACCTTTCCTTTAAGATAGAGATTCAATGTAATGATAGGATCTCCAAGTATCAGTAAACATCACATCAAGAAACATGTGATGGAGTATGCTGCTTGATTCTTTTATTAATTCAAGGTTATTTATTACTAAACCCACTCACGCCTCCAAATAATTTTGCCATAAGATAGCAATGGGAAGTATTTTGAGAAGTTAAATGATCTCATGTCAGTCCTCCCATAAAATGTGGATCCTTGCCAGTCCAAACACTGTAGAAGATGAACACGGCTGATGAGCCCTTGTTCTGATCCTCATGTTTACATAAGAAAGAGTGGCAAACCACGGCTAAATACAATCCCTCACTAGGAAGGCAGGATCGGCAAGTACTAATTCTCAGTTGCAAACCTCTGTGAGCCACTACGTTAGACAACACAGAGTCCATGCTGGGGAGGGCCAAGCACCCAACCTTAAACCTAGGAAGATGACCCTCAGGAACAGATGCATTCCTTGATCTGGGACACTTAGCAAAGCATGGGGTCCGGCACTGAGGACACAGAGATAACTTGCAAAGCTTTGTTACAACAGCAGCAGGATGCCCTCAAAGTGTGGCTGGAGCAGGGGTGGAGGGAAGCAGGCTCTAGTGAGCAGACAGCATGGTAGCAAAGGAGATTTTTTTCACCCAAACTGTAGCTATCTTATTTGAGCACCCAGACAGTTCCCCTAAGACACTCAGCTGGACAAACCACACAGGCCCCTCAACCCTCTGACATGGAGTAGAAAAAGACTTTTCTGCTCAAGCAGTTATTCGAGCCCAGGGATTCAGTATGTTTTACACTCCATGGGCACAGAGCAGATCCACAATGCATATGCAATTCAGAGGCAGGTCCAGCTGTTAAGGGTATGGGATGTGGCTTTTGGGAAGGTGGTGTGATGCAGCAGAGCAAGCAAAAGCTCTGGATTCAGACTGCCCTGGACCACTCACTATGGGTGTGATACTGGGTAAGTGAGCCTCTGTGACTTCCTTTGTGCTCAGAAGCAGGTACACTTGCTTCTGGATACTGTGAAGACCAAAGTGGTGAGTATTTCTTAAATGGCAGCTTCCAGGGTAGGTCATAGGTAGAGTTTATTCTTTCCCTTTGCTTCCTCCCCACTGCCTACCCTGTTTCTGACCTGAGCTTTCACCTAGCTGTTAGCACCCAACAAATTGTCTGGATCAGTACAGACCATCCATAAATGCTGACTAAAAGAATAAACTGTGGTTTTCCTATGCTTAGTCCAACTTAAATATATACCAAGGACTTCCTGTGCATGCCTAGTCCTGTGCTGCTGGTCCTTATTCTGGAGAGCGGTCAGCATTTCATCAATAATAGGCCACCACCAGGCCGAGCACAGTGGCTCACCCCTGTATCCTAGCACTCTGGGAGGCTGAGGCGGGAGGATCGTTTGAGCTCAAGAGCTCAAGACCAGCCTGAGCAAGAGTGAGACCCCGTCTCTACTAAAAAAATGGAAAGAAATTAGCTGGACAACTAAAAATATATATAGAAAAAATAAGCCGGGCACGGTGGCACATGTCTGTAGACCAGCTACTCGGGAGGCTGAGGCAGGAGGATCACTTGAGCCCAGGAGTTCGAGGCTCCTGTAAGCTAGGCTGATGCCACAGCACTCTAGCCCAGGCAATAGAGTGAGACTCTGTCTCCAAAAAAAAAAAAAAAAAAGAATAGGCCACCACCTGAGGGGCCTCATCACAGCACCATGGGCAGCATTCATAAGACCCTGAGCACCAACCACCATCATAGATGAAAGGTCTTGGTAGGGAAATTCCTTGGTACTTCCTTTTCGTTGAGCTACCCACTCTGCCTCACCTTTCATTACAGACAAGTCTGACTCAAGTTCTATGCTCCCCAGGGGCCTTACTGTGCCGATGTGGGCTCTGGAACTTGAGCTATGGGACCCGGCTCCTGAGTCATGCTGCCTTATGACAAAATCCCTTAGAAAGGACTCTGTGGGAAAGCACACAGCTCTGGAGCCAGGCAGATGTGAGTTTGAACACCAGCTCTGCCTTTCAGCTAGCCACATGACCTTGGGCAAGTCACTGCCTCATTGAGCCTCAGTTTTCTCCTCTAAAAACAGAGGCGCTACAATGCACCTGAAGGGGTTGCGCCAAGAGTACACGTGAGCAGTCAATAAATGCAGGTGCCCTTCACCTTTGCCCTGTGTGGACTGTGACCATCCAGTCCTGTGCTTTTCACACTGCCAGGTACGACCCCACCAATGACCAGGGGACTGTGAAGGCAACAAGAGTAGATTATCACCAGCATTGTTTTGAATAAACAGAACAGACTAAAATAATACTTTAGAATGCATCACATATAGTCAGGGTTAGGTACTGCCTCATGAAACTTTTGTTCCTAGCATACACAAAAATTAAGTTTCTGCACACACAGCTACATACTGGGTCACACATAAAATGTATGTCCTTGCAAGTCAGGGTGAAAAATATTTGAAAGACACTATTGACTTTTAGCCTAGAATCCTAAAAATCTAACTTGGAAACGCTAAAATAAATAAGGGAGAAGCTGAAGGCTCTAGCTCTGTCCAGATCATCTCCCTTCCTGACACCCTCCTCCAGTGTCATCAGCTCCAGCCTAGGGAATCCAAGGGGTCAGGGTTCACAGTTAAATGAACACTGGGACAGCCTATGTAGGAGTATGAAAAAACCATCATCTGCTGACTTAAGGTGATCTTTAAAGAGGGGCCTAAACACTCCACCCAGCACAGCCAGATAAGCCAGCCCTGCCCCCAATTCCTGGCCCGATGGTCACTATCCCCCACTATCCCCAGTGACATCAGCTCCTGTGGCTTCAGCTACCAGCTTCAACCTCCAAACCTTCATCATTCATGGGAAAATATCAGTGGAATCAGAACAGTCTTGGGGTTTAAGACAGAGGCAACAAACACCAAGAATAGTAAAGGTTCATTTCCAAGGGTACAGACAAGTCTGCTTTATCTAAGGGATTTAGACTCATTTCAAATCTATATTCGAATTTTATCTCCTAGAAGGCCTTTTCCCCCCTGAAGAAAGAGAGGGGAAAAAAAAAATCAAACCAGACAACCAGCCAGCTGGCCCTAAATTTACTATATGAGTTAACGTGGATGCCTGAACAGGCCCTTCTGGTCAAGTAACATCTTCTCTCCTTCTGCAGAGCCCTTCTGTGAGTCAGGGGTGGTGCTGGGTGGTCACCCTACAGCACCCTGCAAGGTTAATCATCGTGATCTCCAGATGAGGAAACTAGGGCACAGAGAGGTTTCACGGCCCTTGTCAGGGGCACAAGACAATAGCAGGAAGCCAGGTTTGGGCTGGGGCTTCTGGAGTCCTGAAGCACGCTCTTCCGACCATGTGATCTGAGAGGCTGCTCCCATTGTCACCGTCTCACAGCCCTCTCAACTGGCCCTCAAACATGTGCTCTCTGGGGTAACAACCACATCCCCTCCTTGGCGACCTCATCTACCTCAGTACAAAGACTTGTCTGGTCAACTGCTCCAGTGCAGAATTCTCTGGATCCTCTTACCTGTATGTCTCAGGACAGCTCTACTTAAATGTCCGACAGGCACCTCAAGATCACCATGTCCAAAGTCAAATCCATTAACTGCCTTTGCCAAATCTGTTCCCTCTGTGTTTCTGATCTCAGCTAGTGGCACCAGCAAACCCCTCACCAGCCTGCACTCAGGAGTGGACCATGATTTTCCTGCATATCCACAAAATGTCCACTGGGACCTACTCTCCACCCACTTTGGTTTTTCCCCAATTTGCCTCTCTACCCCAGGCTCTCCTGCCTCCCAAGTAACTTAAAACTGGCAGCTGGATCTGACCCAAGCAAAAGCCTCCCACTATCCCCTCTGGCCTCTGTAATCCTGCCCAAGCTCCACAGCTTAGTGTCTAAGATCCACCATGACCTGGACTTCCAACCTCCTTTCTCTTTACTTTGGGCCCCAACACCACCAGATGGACTGAGAAGCACTTACCTCATATTCAACAGTGCCCACAGACACATGCCTCTCCCACTAGCCAGGCACGCACTGGGCCTTGCTCACCACCCCACCTCCAGTGCTTAGCAGAGCACCTGCACAGAGCTGGTGCTTAGGGATATCTCACTGAACAAATGGACAAGTAGCACTTCGGCAACAAATAGGCCCAAGACACCCTTGAGGGAATTCAGAAAAACCAATCACAGATGGTAATAAATATGAGCTCAGAAAACAAAAGGGCAGCTCAAAGGCAGGGCAGTCAGGGAAGGCTGGAAAGCAGGACAGTGGGCTCAGCTGACCCCTACAAGCAGCTAACAGTGAGTAGAGTGGAAAATGGGGCAGGGGCTGAGAAAACACTGAAAACACAGGGGAGATTCAGTCTTACCAATCAATTAGGTAGATGTCTGGAGTTAAGTTGTTCTTCTTGAAATGAGCAAATAATTTTGGCAAATTTTCTTCAAAGAATACCTCGAATGCAGCAAAATAAGTCAACATCTAGGAAGATAATGTGAAATATACTAATAAACTAATTATCAACACAAGTTTCCAATTTACAAAAAAATTCAGATATTTATATCTTTAGAATCTAACAATTATCTTCTCATGTAATTGCCAACATGTTGAATGGCAACTCATTGTAGGCACTATATAGGCAAATTATAAACAAGCACCATTTCTAACCTTTACAATGACATCACTAGCTACATGTTATTATTTCTTCAATTTATAGATAAGAAAACTGAAACCCTGAACAGTCGCGTCACTTGCCAAGTGAAGGCGCAGCCTGAGCACATGGTGAAGCTGGGACCTGCATCCGTGCTGTGCCCCTGCCAATGCTGAGCCTTACGGGCGTCCTCTTTTCTAGGAACCAGGAATATACAAACTGTCTAAAATTATCCGAAAAAGCAAGCATGCCCCACTCTCAACCCCTAGCACTTCTAGAGGGAATATACTGCTAATATCCAAGGCAAGGGCAACCTTGCTCTAGCTTAAAAATGCAAACTTTTGAATACAGTTAGGGAGAAAACACTAAAGGAAAGGGAAGAAGTCACAGTCTGTATTTTACAGGAACTTGCTTTGCAACTTTTTGCAGGTTTTGCAAGAAAACAAAATGCACAAAGCATGGGAGCAGCACTGAAAGAGAAAGAACTACAACTGGATTGGGAGCAACATTACATCTGAAAGGTGGCCCAGTTCTGTCCCACCGCCTGCTAGCTGGATGCATGTTGGCAGATCACAACTCTGATTTTGTTTGCTGGTCTTAATGAAAGGGTCACACTGTAAACCAGTGGCTCCCAATGGGAGTGATTTTGCCTCCTAGGGAACATTTGCCATTGTCTGGAGATACATCTGATTGTCACAACAGGAGGTGGTGGGGTGTGGACAACTGGCATTAGCTGCTAACCATCCTTCAATGCCCAGGACAGCCTCTGCAACAAAGAGTTGTCCAGCCCAAATGTCAACAGTGCTGCTGGTGAGAAACCCCACTCAGCATTATGGTTCTATAGTTTTTCCTTTAAAAATAAGCTAAAATTCCTAAGCATAGTTTTTATCATATGTTTCCAAAGGGAAAGCTGAGGTGTTACCTTCAAAATTAGAAATTTAGATAAAAATCATATTATTATATATAAGATAAAATTAAACATATCTAGGAATTAATATCATAAGCAACAGAAGGCCAGTACATATATTAGTAACAATGAGTTATCTCAAGGGTAAAAATCTTTCCTAGAGACTTTTTTCAACTTCTGACAATTATTTTTCTTGGAAAGGTAAGTTTTCACTTGATTATGAAAGTAATACCTGTACATGCTCATTGTAGAAACCTTAGGGAATACATAAACACTACTAATGCATAAATCATCCATCCATAAACACTACTAATTTCATAGTATATTTCCTTTTATTTTTAAATATGTTAGCCATTATAGTGTATGTTTTATTTTACATATTTTTTTTAAATTAACATTTTATCTTAAACACTTTCCCGCATTACAGTTCTCTGTAAACATCACTATTGCATTAGATATATCACCAGATTTTAATTTACCATTCTGCATTCTCCTTAACCTCATTTTAAACTGTTTTCATATTCACAATTATAAATAATTATGTAATGAATATCTTTGAGCCTGATGTCTTGTCCACGTTTATGACTTTCTTAGAATTGGTTCTTATAAGCAGAATTGCATGCCAATGCTATTTACAGCTATTGAGACTTAGTACCAAATTGTCTTGCAAAAGGACTCTGTCAATTTATACCACCCCAATAGCCACCAGTTTAGCAACAGTTTCTAAATACTTTTTTAAAAATGTATATACTGCCTGAGCAAGAAATACTCAAGAATCTTTAAGATATTAAGGAAGAAATATTCCCTAATCAATCTAAACTATTAGATTTGTATTGATCTTGAAGTACTAGTGATAACTATCAGCAAAGTACCAGGAAATCAAGACAGTGCTAATTTGAAAGCCGATAGGTTTCTCTTCTGAACCTTTTTTTTTTTTTTTGAGACAGAGTCTCACTCTGTTGCCCTGGCTAGAGTGAGTGCCGCAACCTCAGACTCCTGGGCTCAAGCGATCCTTCTGCCTCAGCCTCCCGAGTAGCTGGGACTACAGGCATGCGCCACCATGCCCGGCTCATTTTTTCTATATATTTTTAGTTGTCCGATTAATTTCTTTCCATTTTTAGTAGAGACGGGGTCCGCGCCCGGCCATCTTCTGAACCTTTTTGTGGGAGGAGAAAAACTGATGGGTTTGGCCGGGCGCGGTGGCTCACGCCTGTAATCCTAGCTCTCTGGGAGGCCGAGGCGGGCGGATTGTTTGAGCTCAGGAGTTCGAGACCAGCCTGAGCAAGAGCGAGACCCCGTCTCTACTAAAAATGGAAAGAAATTAATCGGACAACTAAAAATATATAGAAAAAATGAGCCGGGCATGGTGGCGCATGCCTGTAGTCCCAGCTACTCGGGAGGCTGAGGCAGAAGGATCGCTTGAGCCCAGGAGTCTGAGGTTGCTGTGAGCTAGGCTGATGCCACGGCACTCACTCTAGCCAGGGCAACAGAATGAGACTCTGTCTCAAAAAAAAAAAAAAAAATACTGATGGGTTTGTTAAATTGGTGACCAGAATGTATTCAAACCTCAGTCTTCCTAGATGTAAGCTTTGAACAAGTCCCTTCACCCTGAGCCTTGTTTCCTCACCTGGGCCATACAGAGGTATGCTGGGCCCACCCCCAGGGCAAATACTGCCAACTCCTTCCATTTATTCAGTGTGGTAAAGACCCAGTCATGGCAGTACATTAAAAAAACATTTTTTTTTTTTTAAATAAAGGAGCATGGGCTTAAACATGTCTTTCTCCCGTGTATGAGCACACTTCATGAAACAGAGCCCCAACGTGACAATAAGCAGTAACACAATTGTAAGATGTTCTCTTTGACAGACCTAAATGTGGACACTGCTGCTGAGCTTTTCCTTTGACACAAATGTGTATGTATATGCAAGAGCCATCCCATCTCCCTTATTTAAAGAATACATTTTCAGAAATACAGGTACTGTCTTTCTGAAAGAACGTACTAAGAAATTCATACTAAGAAAAACATACGGCTATTGACCATATGTTTTAAAATTTAAGTTCAATTCAAAGCCCAAATAATCCTGTACCTTATAGTGCTACTTATTCTAAACATCTCTTCCTAGAGGGAAAATGCATTCTTTTTACCACTGAAAAGACTAAATGATTAGGCAACTCTTAACGTGTAGAGACAATACCCAGAGCACATACACACAGAATACTCACAAGGCCATGATCCACTCGGAAAAATGCCATTTGACAGGGTTTATTCAAAAGATTAGAAAAAGCAATAAAGGCATCTGCAGTATCTAAGTTCAAGATCAATACTGCTGCTATAAATGACATGCCCTGAACCTGAGGAAGGAGAAAAAGGTGTGTTAAACTAACACCAAGGTCAGAGCGGCTTGTTCATTTTTATTATTTTTTTATTTGTACGAATTTATGAGGTACATGTGAAACTGCGTTACATGTATGTAATGCACTGAGATCAAGTCAGGGTATTATTTAGGGTGTCCACCGCCCGAGTACAGTACATTTTGTTAAGCATAGTCACTCTATTCTACTACCAAACATGGAATTGATTCCTTCTGTGGTACTGTATGTCTGTACCCTTTAACTCATCTCTCTTCAGACTCTCTCCTCTCTCCCTACTCATCGTTCCCAATCTCATTCATTTTATTAAAGAGGAACCAAAAGACCCTCATGCTAGAAGGGTCTACACACCACCCCACTCCCCCATCCACTGCCCTTACTGAGAACCACCACTCTACCACACCAGCCACCGAGTCTGCTCTCCCTCAGTCCCCACCCCACCTCGCCCAAATGGAAAACCATAAACCAGCCTCCTAGGTGTTTTGTATTTGAAATATTCCCCTTTAGTATGTATGGTGTCCTGGTGCTATAAATGTGTATATCTAACTTAACATGCTTAATTTAAAACCATGCATGCACACACACAACTGCTAAGCTGCAGAAATATCAGCAATATCTTTTTAAAATTGGTTATTGCTTTTAAAATGGTTAAGGCTTTTTTGATTTAACGCTGGAAAAAAATCACATGCATCTAATTAAAAAGTGATTAATGCCACAGAGCAGCCATGTATCTCAATTTCTTTATGAGGAAACTAAGTCAATTCACTTACCATGAGACTTTTCATACTCCTCAACAAAAAAACTAAGGTATTTAACATTTATAGCTAAAATGTGCTGGACAATATTTGACTTTCTTTTTAGATAGTAACAGTAAAAATACTGAGAAACTTCACTTACATAACCCACATCCGGTCGGTAACAAGTATAAGCGCCCAAAATACTGTGCAACATGTCATGATACGGACCACCCTAAAAGGATCAACACACCAAAAACAACACATGCGTAAGTATTGTTAGTGTTCAGAATAACAAGATGCTGCTGCTGCCACAGTCACACCTGCTATTTTCAGAGGAGGAACTATTTGCCAAGCATTATGCCAGCAGCTTTATATATTCTACGTAATTTAATAAACTAACTACCGATTCTCAGTTTAAAGAGTCTATAGCTCAATCTGTGAAACTGCTTTGAAAAAAGCTGGTGGTCAGGTACGAGCATCACCCTACAAAAATACCCTTAACTTGGCTCCTGCTGTATAGCTGTGTGCCCCTTCAGAGTTCAACAGGAGAGCCAGGTACCCGGGGTCCTTCAAAGCAGGTGGCTGCCCACTGTCATTCAGACTGTCTCCCAGCTGTCCCCATCATCCTGACTGTGCTTTCTGCCTCTCTTCCCTTGCCTTTAATTCTGTTTCTTCTGTGTTGTTCTGAATGGCAGGTGTAGGAAATACACTCTAAGTCTTAAATTCTAGTCACTGCCATTTTATTTCAAACATTCTCCCAACTCTCCCATCCCTCCAAGATTTCCATTTGCTCCTGTAATTGCGTCCAAAAATTTTTAAGTGTTGAAATTTTTTTTTGTAATTGAGCACAGGAGAAATCGCAGAGATCCCTCACACTGATGTTAGCGTGTCAGACGACACTATAAAAGGATTGGCTGAGCCCGAATTAAACTTACTGTCCATGTCTACCACGCACCTACCAGTTAACACAGGGAATAAAAATCACTCATGGTAAATGACTGGGAAGTCATTCCACAGGTGACCACAGGTAGCTGACAAAAGAATGCCATGGCCCAGACCATCATATTCTGACATATTTAAAAAGCTAAGAAAATGAAGAGACATTTCCAAATCACAGCAGGACAAAAGAAAAAAAAATAGCAAAAAGAGGGCAAAAAACAACATCCAGGGCTAAGAGGATAGGGGGTGGGGATCTGCAGTGGTACCAAATGCCAACCTAAGGACTAGTGTGACTATAAGAGAGTTTTATCCAGTCCAAGGCTAAATGAGAAAAATAAGAGTATGACACTGAATTTTTCTTAAAGCTAAATGTTTTCAACTTAAAAGATTTTCTACCATTGTAATCATATCCTTCCTTCTCACTTGGTCCTAGGAGATGGTAGTTCCTTATTTTAAGTGCCCTTAACTTGTTTTGGACATCTCTGTTTCCCGACAATTTCCTCTACCACTGCCCTTTTTTTTTTTAATATTACCCATTTAGATCTAGAACTTTGGGAACCACAGACTGAGGGAGAAACATGCAAAGGAACTCAGAGAGAAAGAAAAGGCAAGCTCTCTGCCCTTCTGTCCCCAACTCCATCCAAAGAGACCTCTAGCCTAGAGCTCACACTCCTCCTCCTCCTGCGCATCGTTCTGCACCCAGACAATAATCCAGCGATTCTCAAAGTCAATGTTTCTGAAGCTGAGTCCATGAGAGGCGTTCCACAAGAAATATTCTGGGGTTCTAGCTATTGGAAAAGCTGGACTTGGCCTTCTGCGGGGCTTTAGCAGTCTCGGGGCTCTGTGACTACTCGAGAAGCACTCAAGGTCCATAATCACAGGGACCCCTTGAACCCTCTGACCACAGACACCTCAAGAGGACTGCATACAACTAACACTTCAAAAAGCATTTTAGGAAACCCTGCTCTGGCTATTATGTGAGTTCTATTTGCTCCCTTTTCTTCAGGCCAGTCCTGCCAGAATTTTCCCTTTCTTTTTAGCACATTGTATCACTGCTAAGTAAAAAGCTTACTGCGCTACTTTCAACCAGGGCTGAAAGATCCTACACTGGATTAAAAGGTCAGGAACACAAGCTTCCTTGGACGCTGCAGCCACTGTCATCACACTCACTCGCACTTCTGTGGCTGCCTGGCACAAAATGACTATTCAACCTTGGTTGGATTTAGTTTCAAATTATGTTCAAAGATATTTAATAATAACTAGCACTGTTACATGCCAAGTACTGTCAACAGCCCTCTTAGGCTGGTATGATCACTCTCATATTATAGATGAAGAAACTAAGGTTCAAAAAGATTAAGTGATTTTCCCAAGGCCCTAAAGCTAGTAAGAAGGTAATCTGGCATTCAAACCCAAATCTTTTGAAATCACAGGTAAAACTCCTTTCTATAAAGCAGCTTTTTCTGGGCCCTCCTCCAGAGCCCAGTGAGGAGATACATGAACTATGGGTGCAGGATGCAGAAGGATCTGGGACTCAGGGTGAAGAAAGAACAGCAGAAAATCTAAAATCTGCCCAGTGGGAGAGGAAGGGTTCTGGAAAACAGGCTGCCCACAAAGTCGACTGCCTGCCACAAAGCCAGGGCAGTGCTCACGGTGTTTACGAACCAGACACCAAGACCAAACTTTTTGGTAGCTTTGTAGATTCTCTCCCTTTCCTCTTTTGCAAAGATTTCTGAAGGCCCCAATGAGAATGTTTCCGCCTGGATTTAGAAAATGGGGGAAGTAAGAGTAAGAACACCCCACCAGGCATCACTGGGGTCCTCACTCTGCCCTGAGTTGATCCACGTCACAGCAGCAGAACCACAGGTGACTCCAGCAGGCACAGGGAGTCAAGTGGAGCAGAGAGGAAATGGGCAAGGGGTGGATGGGCCTACAGACCTAAGATATTGTAACAAGCTGGTAGAACACAGTGCCCTACACTGCTGGACTCTCAACACTCAGGTTCTTGTGTCCCCTGCTTTGTAGAGTTTTTCTGACATTGCAAAAACTCCCTGATCCTGGAAGCCAAAGCCTCTTCTCAGTCCTCCCTTCCCAAAGCACCTGTGGTACCCAGCTTCAATGCTGCAAGCTCTAAAACGGCTACTCCCTCAGATGCCTGGACTCATCCTGGTTCTCTGACTACCCTTCTCAGCTAGAGAGCAAGTGTGTCTCAGAGCTCCACCCTTGGCACTCTCCCCGCTCCAGAGCAGGGAGCAATCTTACTCATTTCCATCCCCCGCCCCCCGCTCCAGCTGGTCTCCACCTCAAACACAGTAACCATTTGTAAGTAGGGTTCATGGAATTGAATAGTGTCTTTTCTGTTCATTCCTTTAGCAAGGTTCTCTCTTCCAAAAGGAACTGGGGGTTCCCTGAACAATCAGCTGTTTGATGCTTCCTTTTTAGACCAACTTCTGCCTGCAATGCCCTTCCTGTTCTCTGGTTATACTGCCATTCAAACCTAGTCCAAGCATAGCCTGAGAGCCACTTCCTTCCTCTGTGGCCCCCATCCTGACCGTCCATCCTCCACTACCCCACCCCATCTCTGCACCACCAGAAGGAGCAGTGCCTGCCCTGTGCTGTCAGAGTGCCTGGACACAACCACAGTCCTGCTAAGCCCATCTAGCCTCTACAACTCCAGTCCTGCTCATTCTGGTGGCCACTTAACTGATTTGTCCTGATTTATTCCACTATCCTTTACTGGTTACCTACTGCATGCAAGGATGATGCTAGAAACCTGGGCATGACAGTGTCAGACTGGAGATTACAAGACTGTTCTGGAGGCAATGAGGTGAATGGCAAGAGCGCAGGAGGCCAGTGAACCATGAAGATGAGAATTTGAACTAAATAAAGGCAGTGAGACTGGAGAAGGGACAGATACAGAGATATTCTGCTGCAAGGTGGACCTTCCAAAACAACCCATTATGGACTGGATAAGGGTGGGGTCAAACAAGACCCCTAGATAAATGTCTATAGGCTCAAAGAATAGAAGGTCTTCAAACAGCTCTGCTCAGAACTCCACAACCTGCTGCTGGCAGCCCTCTCCTATGCTCAAATGCTCATGGAGAGGCTTCACTCTGCTCTTACTGCCATCCAAGGAGCATGTCCTATCTCCCATAGCTGGCTGCTGTTCCCAGTGGTGTCACTGTTCTCCTGGCCCACGTGCTCAGAAACCCCACCACCTCTCCTCGGCCACCCTCCCTGGCTACCCCAAGGCTGCCAAGGATTTCCCTTTCTCCCCCAGGCTCGCTGCACTGGGCTCATTGGTGCCGAAGCCAATCACACCATGACAGTCCTGCTGAGTGAGTGCTGCTGCTACATACAGCGCTGAAAACAGAAGAGCACCTGCCAGATGAGGCCACGCACAGGGCTCTTCCTGTGCTAGACCTACAGAGGCTGTGAGGCATGCTTCTCGAAAGGACAGAACGTCTTTAAAAGTATGGTCATATTAAATATTCATTGGAAAGCATCAGTTATACCTATTTGAAAAAGTCTAAATTATTAACAGTAAGATCTAGCCTACCCCCACCCCCAGTCTCTAAAAAACCTAAGAACTTTTCAAGCTTCATTACAAATATATGCAGTTTGACATCTATGAATTTTAGATGAAAACATACTTTAAAGCAACAAATCACCACTACTTACTTGCTGGAAAATGCAGAGATTAGGAAACGTTCTAGAAATGTCCAGTTTAATAAGTTCCAGACTAGCTTCTCTGTCTGCTGCTGACAACCCAGCATCTGTCAGAAGATGTCAAAAGTCACTACACTCCTCAGTGGCATGAATGTGGGATAATTACGAGGCTTTAAAGTTTTATAAGAGTGAAACAAGGAAAGAAGTTCTCTGAAGTACACTGACCTAATTACATCTTGACTCAAACAGAGTCCACCTTCAGAGTATATAATAGTTTATAGAGTTTCTTATTTTAGACAACAAAAATTCCTATGGCACCAGCTAATGCTCGATCATTATCGGATATTTTCTAGAGTCTGAAATCAAAATCTAATTTGATGTTACCTTCATCAACATAATCAGTGGAAAATAAGGATAAGCAGGGAAATACACACAAATGAACTCCACACATTAAAAAAAAAAACACCAAAAAATCATTATTTAATCTCAAACATCACTGGTATAAACTTAGTATATTTAGGAGCAGTATTATACTCATGTAATATTTCTAACAAATATTCGTAAATAACTTGTTTTATATTTTTTTAAATTCTAATACCACATAGACTATAAAAAAAGATCAATAAAAAACATACTTCTTAACCAACAGAAGTAATCATTCTTGTGTGTTATGGGAAATTCTAAAAGCATAATCTAGCAAATACTAGTGCTCTTGCCTCTTTGGAAGTAGTCCCCCCTCTAAGAGTCAATATTCAACTAATCCCAGGCACTGGGCTACTGTAAATCACATGAATAGCTTTTAAGGAAATGATATTGGTTACGACCAGCCCTCCAGCATGTTAGGACACAAACAGCTCGTAGGAATTGGTATGTTCTATTTCTTATAAAAGCTTTTTTTCCTTTAATTTTTGCTTCAAAAACCCTGTTTCCCATGAAGCTCTTAGAAATGCACATCAACCACTACTGCAGTGAATTAAATTTATTATGTAATAAAGAATGCCACAGATAATTGACCAAAGCAGCACGCTGGTTTTAGAATGGTCTATACCTTCACTCTCCACTTCAGAACCTCCTGTGCTAAGGGACCGCCACCTCTCCTTGGCTCGGGCAAGACAGATGTCAAAGAGCTCTGGAAAAAAAAAAAAGCTTCTGGGTAAGTCTTATATACATATGTGAATATTTTTCATGCACTACTATCTCCTTCAAATATTTAAGTTCAACTATAGTAGGCTTAATTGTGCACTAAATAAGCTACTTAAACAATTCCCCGCAACTTTGCCTGAAAGTATTTTCATTGTTTAAGACACAGCCATATACAAAGAAAGAATACACACGATACCACCATGCCTGGTATTTACCTCTGTTACACAGCCCACCCACAAAACCATCTTATTTTGATTTATGATTTGTCCATTGCCTCTACCAGACTGTGAGCTCCTTGAAGGTAAGACTATGAAGGTCTCTCACTCACCTCTGCATCCAGAACAAACCACACTGGACTTGACAAAGAACAATGCAACCAATGAATACCTGACTGATGGATGGAGGGAAGAAGGGAGGGAGAAGCAGAAAACCATCTGGTCCAAGTAAGGACATGATGGAATTGCTCCCCACCTGGCACAGGCCTCCTATTCTAGCTGCCGGCAGTGAAGCAGGGGTGGGAGCAGATCCCAGGAATGGCCAGAGGCCTCAAAGAATAAGGGCTCTTGCTGGCAGAGAAGTATCATGACAGTCACAAAATCTCCTCCATACTTAGAACTTATTTTTTCAACAGTTCTTCTCTTTGGGTAGTTTGTAATAGTTAAGTAATAACTCATGCTCACAAAATTTACTAGTTTACACAGACCTCCATGAGTATATCCATGCCCCATTCTTCTTCAATGGACAATAAGAAGACTAACACCACAGAGCTCTTTCTCAGAGCCCTGCTCCCCTACCCAGCCCAGTCCCAGCTGCCTCCTGTTCCTCTGGCCTCGATGCTTCCCAGCTCCCAGATATCTCAAATCACTAATAATCACTAGTCAATCAGAGACTTTAACAGCAGCCACCCAAAGAACTTTCATCACTCTAATTTTTCCATCATTACTTTTGGAAAATAAAGCAGAGCACACCTGCCTTCTGGGTAGTGACACTATTTTATCAACATGTAACTCAAATTCTAGTAACATAATTATAACCCAACAAGTAAAATCTAGATTAATGTCCTTGTTCTAGCCTTGTGAGGGATCCAACTTAGAATCTATGGTGGTCTGCCATGGCAGGAGGAGGCGCAGTTATGAAGTACAATGTCACAGCACCATTGTCCAGAAGGCAGCAACTCAGTGCAAGTGCTGCCAGGACTACTCTGCCAGTGCTCTGAGCTGGTGGCTAGAGCACCCAGCGGGGCCTTTGCCTGCTCTTAGCCTCCAGGAGGCAGACCAAGCTTTGGTCATTTTGGCAGGAGATGGGTGAAAACCACTGTGTGGCCATGACCATGAGGGAACCACTTCCCACATGAGGTATTTGACAGTTAGGGCACAGATGCCAGTAGCCCAAGGGTAAAATGAGTCCAAGTGTCAGAGTTTGAAAACTCTCCCCCTTGGCTCTATTTGGTGTGTATTTTGGGGTTGGGGTGGGGGCTAGAACAGCTACCACTACTTTTTCCCAGGCACCCTGCCTCAATTTCAAAGTACAAGAGTGACTTAGGCCTCAAGAGTGAAGTTTTAATAGTACTATTAGGTTGACTTGACTTTCAGTAAGTTTCCAATTGTACAACCACAAAAAGAACAAAACTCTGTGGCTTCCCAAGTCAAAACATGGGCTTCAGAATCAGCTAGGGCTGGAATCATAATCCTGGCCCCACACACACTAGCCATGAGGCGTGGGGCACAGTCGCCAGCCTTTCCAGGATGCTAAACGTTCTCAAGAGGAAAACAAGGTCAAGGTCACTGTCTATATAGAGACATGTCTTAAATAAGGCATGTAAGTAAAGAACCTAACATGATGCCTGGTACTCAACAACTGGAATCCAAGATCATTTGTGTTCTTACACCAGCTTGGAGATGCAGTAAAATTGAGATTAAGTAGGACCCAATAAGGTGGCATTCACTCACTCAACAAGTATTTCTTGAGGACCTGCCATGTCCTGAGACTTGAGCTGGGCACAGAGACAGCAGATGAGGCCCCAGCCTTCTGAACACTAGTTCTACTGGGGGCCACTGACATTAACCAGCTAATCATAACAAGACAGACACAGTTTAAATAAAATGAGCCAATATCAGGGTTTAGACAAACATTTAAGACATATAATTGATTAATTAGCTGTTTAGCACAACCTACTATGATACGGTCCATGGAAGGTTTTAATTTAAATAAAAGCAACCCAGTCATCAGTGAGAACCAAAAATGTAAAATACACATACAAAGTACTGTGCATTACATTCAATTTGCAGGGACAGGGTTATTGATAGTTTAGAAATTTTCAAGAACATGGACTGAAATAGATGCTCAGCAATTTCTCCAACTCTTAAATTCTAAGGATGTTTTTAAAAAGCTATTTCCACAAGTTAAATGTTATACATCTTCTCATGTAAAGATGTTAAAACAAATTTTTGGCAGGTATGGATTTAGCCAAAAGAGGAGCTTTGGAGGGAGTTCACTGCTCCCATGTTCCCTCTTTAGTACCCTGCTGCACAGAAGCCAGTAACCATCCAACCAACCAGCTGACGTTTCTCAAGATAAAAATGGTAACAGAAACCCCAACTAAGAGGGGGAAGATACAAATCAATCTGCTTTAAACTCAAAAGGCCTTCACCAGAGTAAAAACTGCATCAACTCCACCAGCCAGTATTGAGTACCTGACAGAAGAGCAGGAAGGTGTCCCTGTCCTCCCTTAGCTTCAAGTGCAGGTAGGGATACAAAAACAAGAAGGAACGACTACCATTTATTAAGCACTTGATTTTAAGTCTGTGAGCTCCTGGCACCAATTTCACTATGGCTGCACAGAGCTCTACAGAGTGCTTGGGACACACTGGAAGTGAATCCAGTGAATCCAGTCTGGTGGAGGAGATGCAGACGGCCTGAGAATGCTGAGCAGGGTTCTCGCACAACGGCCCCAGAGTTAAGCTACTAGAGCCCCAAGGACCCCAGTCCTACCATAGTAAGTTGTCCCCGCTGAGGCTGCCTGAAAATAATCCCACAAAAAAAAAAAAAACAGGTACCCTTGTACAATAAATAACTCCACAGAAAAGAGCCACCTGTCTCCACTCATTTTCACATCATAAGGCTAGCCTCTACAGGACTTTGATAAGTGATCCTAAGGTACCTCACACTGATGAGCTGGTACCCTCTATCCAGGCTTTTGCTCTGAACTATCAGGTAACTGAAATACCTAGGTCTAAACCCAGGCCTCCCAGCTGCCCCTCTCTCCTGGAGGATAGTCACCTGGGCTCTCAAAAGACACAGCTTCATGGCAATGGTTGTCTCTCTTAAGGGCAGAAGGGACAGAAGAAGCTACAGGACCCAGGGGGTGGATTCACCAAGGCTAGGATCATGCAAACCACTCACCGTGGGTGATATTTAACTCGTTGCCAATGGCTAAGCTCCAGACTTTGCCTCTCACACTTGGAGGGATTCCCTGCCACCACAAATCTCGAACTTTTCTAGAGCACCACCTGGACAAAAATGGAAGCATGAGTTTATGAGTTTGTTCTCCACAAAGAAATAGCTGTCTCCCTAGCCCCAAACCACCAGGAGCTAGGGATGCACAGTTATATAAGGCACAGCCCCTGCCCTCAGGGAGCTAAGAGTCCAGGGTTCTGTAAAGATCAGATCAAATCCCTGTTCACTGGGCAACTATCATGACAGGTATTGAAGGATACAGCACAGCAGGGAGCACAGCAGGGAGCACCACAAGCCAGCAGGCCCAGGGCACTATTCTGGAGCCCAGTTCTGAGTAAGCAGTAGCAATTTAAGCACATGAAGGATGAGAAGGAGTTTCTCAGCAGAAAACACAGAAAAAAGAAATAACCTGGCCTCCTACAGAAACTGCACATAGCTGCACATGGGTGAGGAGGGCCAGGCAGCACTGCTGCAGAGCTAGGGGTAAAAGGCAGACCCCAAGGGCCCCATGAGGCGAGCCCAGGGAGACAGCAGACAGCCACCACACTACCACACAGGTGGAGCACTCAGGTTCGAGCTGCCAAACTCTAACTGTGGAGAAGAACTCTGCTGACTCAGAACATTCTGGACTGCACAAAGTCATTCAGGTCTGCTGGTCACAATGAACACACACTGCCAAAAGACTGCACAATGCAAAGGTTCCGCAGACTCTCAAGGTGCTCCTAAACACAGCGCAGTGGGAGAGCACAGGCTTTGGGGCTGTAGATACCAGGAATCTGGAGGAAATTACTTTTCCTCCCTGAACCTGTACCTCTCTAAAATCAAGAGGATGAGACCTACCAGCCAAGGGGTGTTGTGAGGACTAAGCAGGATAAAGTACAAAAGCATCCAGCACAGCGCCTGGTGGAGTCCATGTGCATTCAATGGCAGCTGTTGCGTGTGTATGTGCATTCAGGGCCAGGGGTGGGCTCTGCTGCCTCTCAGGAAGCAACAAGCGTTCTGAGAACCTCTATTCTTGTTACTGGGTCCCATTTAAGAAAAAGTGTGAAGTGTTTCCTAGCAGTAGCAAGCCTTTTGAGGACACTGCCTAGGAGAGCAGGCTCTGAACATATTATCCTCGTGGAGATCCTCAACAGGCAATATGACCCCTGAAGTGTGAGTGACACCCTGGTGAGTGTCAAAAGTGAGTCTCCAACATTCTGACATGCAGGGCAAGAGCACAGGGAAGCTGGGATCCAAGCTTCCTGTGTGCCTCTGTGCACAGCCCTGGGACTGCTGCCCACACACTTGTCCCTACTCATTCTGAACACGTAGGAAGAAACAACAGCCGTCCTCAGATGTAAAGATGACAGTAGCTGCCAGACTCTGCGGGGCACATACTCCACTGATACTGGGGGTCATCACCAAAGAAGACCTGGCCTCCATCCTCAAAGAGATAAAGACAAGCTTGAGCAGAGAGCTGCGGTATACCCAGAGAAGTCCGCCACAGGCACTTCCAGCCAGGGTAGGGATAGTAAAGTCTTCCATGAGGAAGATTGAGCTTTAAAGAACACATAGGAGGGAGTCAGCTTGATGAGGAGGTGCAGGGCAAGAGCATCAGGCTTAAAAGCAGTAACAACGGCCGGGCGCGGTGGCTCACGCCTGTAATCCTAGCACTCTGGGAGGCCGAGGCGGGCAGATTGTTTGAGCTCAGGAGTTCGAAATCAGCCTGAGCGCCCCAGCCGACGTCGCCCGCACTCCCCTCCTTCTCCCCCCGCCCCGGACAGAAACGGGGCTCTCGCCTGTCATCCCGGCACTCTGGGAGGC